CTCATGGGACTTCTGATTCGAGAGCAAGCGGCGATCCGACCCAAGATGCGCCTGACGGAACAGGTAGGTGGTGTTACAATAGGTACCATACAGCCAGCCGCAAAGGCGGGCTGCATACATACATATGCGTAGCATGCGACGTTGCCATCTACTAGACTAGGCAAGTACGCATACTACGCACTTCGTAATCTACGCATACCTACCTTACGTATAGGCAGCGTGGCACACCTGCCACACACTCCCCCTACAACCCCTACAATGGTGCTGCTGCTGCTGCTGCAGTGCTGACGTCGGGACGCTTTCCCTGGCTGCCATCCCATCCCATCCCATCCCATCCCATCCCCTCCCCTTCCCAAGCCAACGGCGCGCCTTCGTCTAATCTGAACCTTCCCCCCAGCACTCGCATTCGCCCAGCTCGGAGAAATGTGCGAGTGGTCAGCTTACGCCCCAGCGACGTCAAACAGCGTGAAAGTACCTGTACAAGGTCCGCTTCGAGAGCCTACGGATGCCGAAGTCTTTCATGCTTTCCCCAGCGACAGATTGTCAGCCCCGGCGCGGAGATGATGGGAATGGCTTGCAGAGGATCTCACGAGTTTCATGGTAGAAATGGAGTCTCCGAGAGTCAGCTTTGAAATCGATTATCTGATTGGCTCTTATAACGAGTTCCATAACGGCCCGCTGTTGCAGTGGCTGTTGCATCTCCATAGATTTCTCAGACAGAGATAGACCAGAACGGCCAAACCAGGTTCCAAGGCATACCCACTTCCCACTTCCTCACAACGTTATTCACTTCAGCTAGGTATGCTTTCATTCTGACTTGTTAAGTCATATACAGCTCTTATATTAATAGCTTATAACTCATAAGACCTTACAGTCATGTAGCAACGGAGAATATTCCTGTTCCCTCGTTACTATTAGACGGTGAGAATGTCAACTCATGCACGCGCGCCTTCATTTCCAAAATGGCGTGCCTAAGTAGAGGTTTCCTGAATCTAGATGAAGCATATCTATACTGCTGTAATCCGCCTATGGCTATTGTGATGTCTACTTAGCCGCATAGCAAGGAATCCCGTCATGATTACCTAGGTTTAGTTTGCTCCTTCGGTAGCTGATATGAACGTCGCTTCTGAAAACATGTGGCCCTCTTCCCTGATCTGTTCATCACCGATCTTCAAGTTCAATGTCACAGCCTTGTGTGGGGCATACTGTAATTCAATGTCAGCGGCTTCAAAACTGTAGTTAGTTATTTCTTTTTGCTTGTAACTCACTTGATATATGTAAGGCTTGGTGCCCGCCGCGTTAGCAACAATTGTCTTTACAAAGCCTGGAACTTCTGCCATCACATCTACGCAGTCCTGCCGTTCAAGAGGTCCTTCAATGACGGCTTCGACTGCCTTTCCATCCTTAGCCGCACCGGACCAGGCAAATTTGGCCTCTACTGGCGCAGGCCAGCCATTCGCTGTGTCATGCTCCGTCTTGGTGTGCGTCGCGCTGCAAGTGGTGCCGGCGGTGATAATCTCGCCATCCTTGACTATTCCGCCAACACTGACTACTGTGGCCCCGTAAGAAGGAGGGGTTGTAAACTCCATGAGAACCGCCGAGTAGTTCGGGCCCTGGAAATCTAAGAAATCCCACTGGGCAGCTGCATGGTGAGGCTTCATGCCCTGAAGGCACATGATGAATATGGCTTTGCCTTTAAAGTCAATAGGGCCATCCGGTGTCACAATGCTCCCCTCTGCATCACACCGGGGCCAGAACGTGTGTCTCATAGAGCCCCAGGGGTTGGATAAATCCGTCCCGTATAAAGTCTTGCCATCCTTGCCAGCCACAAATCCAGGAGTCGTCCTCGTCACCTTGAGATTGACGATGGATCGTTCGTCGTTCATCGACTTGATCGTGTACGACTTTCCATCCTCGGATAACTCGACTGCGCAATCCTTGGCGTAGAAGGAGGTCTTGTCTTCGCTGAAATCGTAATCGGTCAAGGGAGTCGAACACCAGAGATGGGGCTTAGACCCGTCCGTGTAGAAAATCTTCGAGTTGAACTGGACCGTAGTTCGGATGCCACTTTGAATATCGTATGTTAGCTGCCAATGAAGCGAATGAGGAACTTCTTGTGCGGCCTTACGCTACATTACTATATATAATCTGCGCAAGTCCGATGTGGCCACTGTCTGCCATGAAGTAAAACACCTGTGTCTCGACTGATGTCTGGTCTAGGGCAATCCATTGTAGATGGTCTCTGGTTATTTCGGTGTAGGGTGTTGACTTGGCATCTTCGGCGACGGATTTGATGGCCGACGGGCCGTATATAGGTTCTTCAGTGCCGACAACATTCGCCAAACTGATAGATTCCTATGTTAGCTGGAAGTTGAGCTAGAGCCGAGATAGACTTTATTTGCTAACGTTTGCTTCGCCCAGGTGAACATGGTGCTCCTTCAAGGCGCTGTCAGTTGATACTGCTTGTTGAGAAGAAGAGATGTAACTCTCTCCAAGATGTAGGTAGGATACTGAATAGCAAAAGGTCCAGGAATTCAATAGGCGTCGTCTACAACCAGGGCTGTCTGATGCAGGAGTAGGGAGTCAAGAAAGTAAGTAGTGATTGGGTACCTAGCTCGGTCCATGCATTGGGTGGGGGTCTTTTGGCGGGGTGCTCAATCAGATAGCAAGCTTGGGACCCGCTGTGGCGCCCGTTATCGATACCGGTAGTCAGGTATCTTATGCGTTACATGGGAAATGCCTACCCAATTTACAGCCCGGCTAGCCCGTTAATATCGTAGTTTCTCCCCAGCTACCTAGCAGACAATTCCGATTCTCTGTTCAGCCCGACCTCGATGCACCATATATAGCTCGAAAAGGGATAAGAAGATGGCTTCGCGCGGTGCTGCCATCGCCCGTGACCAGATCGTCAAATTGATCGTCGGGGCAGGACAAGCCAACCCGAGTCCGCCAATCGGTCCCGCGCTGGGCAGTAAAGGTGTTAAGTCAATTGACTTTTGCAAGGTGCGTAGCGCAGCAAAGGTGATCCCCCTTGGAAGATTGCAGTTCGGCTTACGCTATCTTAGGAATTCAATGCCCGGACGGCTCACATAACGCCCGGTACTCCAATGCCCACCCGGGTAACGGTTCGTCCCGATCGGACATTCCACTTCGACATTCGAACACCACAAACTTCGTGGCTTCTACGAAACGCGGCAGATCTTCCGGCAGGGAAGAAGGGCAAAAAGAAAGGAGCCAGCAGGCCAGGCCATGAAATAGTAGGCACTGTCAGTCTGAAACACGTCTACGAGATCGCGAAAATCAAACAGAGCGAGCTGCGGTTGTCGGGTCTAAGTCTCGAAGGACTCTGCAAGTCGGTTATCTTCCAGGCAAGGTCTATGGGTGTTGCCGTTGTTCCCTAATTCACCTACCGAAAACCACCTTGATCGGACAGCTGGAATCACGGTCCAAGCTACGCTCCACGATGCGACGATGTTACTTCACAGTGGACTGTGAATACTAGATGTACATTTTAACGGATATCCTGTACAATAGGTGTTAGGGTGGCGTTCCATCTTAACTCTTAGCATTTCGCGGCATTCGAATGAAGACTGTTGTGGCCATCTTGCTCATATACTATTGCATTCAATTACTTGGTTCTCGATGTTCGACAAGTGCTTTCGGCTTCATCCCTTTTCGCTATCAGGAATAATTATTGAAGACGTTTCGTGCCCACAGCCAACAGCGCTGTTATATCGGTACAGAAGCATATATTCTTTCTCTTCCTATCCCAAAGCCCTCTTGATCAGAAGAAATTCTTGTTTGAACATTGAGCAACATATATTATCTGTCAGTATTCCTGGCATCAAAGTGCCGAATGGGACCAGGGGCACAATGACAAGCTATTGCATTTAGGCCCTAGCTGACTTCTTGTAACCTGAGCAGACCAGCCGATCAGGGTCTCGGTAACTTACGGCTCTCCAGCTGACCTTCACGAAATTCGTCAGATGAGAATGGTAGAATTGATGACCGTTATTTGCTTCTATGATTTTGTAGTTGACATGAGCTTTTTGACATTCCGAATAGTGAGGGTATCGACAGTTACATAATCTGTTCAAGAGCTCGCATCATTAGGTATATGCACGACGAGGCCTACCTTTTTCTTAGAGAACAATTGTTTCTCAAGGGTGGATCGTGTCCCTCTCGTGAAACTACCAAGCATGAAATAAGGATTGAAAACTACTAGTAAAAGCATTTCCGTCATCGGAGAATTTGTGTTCTAGGTTTTACCAAATGTCAAGTTTGCAATGAACCAGGTTTAGCGCATTTGCCGCTTTCCCAAGGTTATCTCAGGCTGGGCCTGTGCATTTATGCGTTGCTTCATGCAGAGAGCGATAACTCTGAAACTTCCAGGCTTGAAACGGTTCCAGCTCTGAGAATAGTTTTGACCCTTAAAACCGTCACAGCCTTTCCTAACCGTCAACCAAGGCAAGGAATCAGGGCGGCCTACGAGGGCGGCTTGCTCCGTATAGCATCTACCGTAACCGACTGATGCTCACAACTCATTCATTTACATCCCACCCTATCGTTGACCGTCACCAGCACGCGTTCTAGGCCATGGCGGCCTTGTCCAACAGATCCGGCGCCGAGGGTTAGCAGTATACCGGTATGAAAATGGTTAAAATCAAGCTCGCTAACCTGGCAGGAAATGTGTAGTGGTGTAATCAAGTCCCCGACGACACTTGAACAGCTATGACTCGTCAATTCGAGCTGTGAAAACGGAAGTTGGTAAACTCGACAGTTGCAAACATTAAAATTCACGTTGATTTAGATACGTAGTTGAGGTTGAGTAAAATACTCCGTGTTTAAGTAGTCTTGGCATGCCAACTCTAGGGGACTTACACACAAACGACTGAAAACGTTAGAAATAAAAGATTGGTAACTAAGCACCTAGTGGAGAGCACAACATATACAAGAAGTTTGAGCCCGATTACAACAATCCAAAGCCGTGATGTGCATAGTCCAGAGTGGTGTAATGGTAACATCCCTACTTAGGTGACGCATGGTAGAATCTTAGAAGGTGGTAAACCATGCCCTTCGGGGGCCAGGGGGGAACCGGGTTCGATTCCTGGCTCTGGAATAAATTGTTTTCTTTTTCTTTTCTAGAGCTAGGTATGTTCGATTACGGTTTCAATTCCTTTTTTTAAACCTCATTACAGATAGACTATCTCTCTCTATCTCGTTATACACAGCGGCCAGCACTCAGTCAGCTAGTATTCAATTACTCACTTTAAAAGCCCGTATAATCTATCTTTTGGCATAATAGTTACTCACACCATTTATGCTGGAAGCATCCCAGCTCAGCATCCTCCGTGAGCCCAAAACCAACCTGCGGCAGCCTAGCCCTGGCCGACCTCAGCCGTCCCGCCGCGCCGCCATTGCCCGCGTCAGCCACATCCACGGCGGCTACCGGCCGCAAGGCACCATGTCCGAGGAAGACCTACTATACATTTTCAGTCTCTTCGCGGTCGAGCGCTTCGAGTGACGCGCGATGGATGCGCAAAAACGAGGCACGCTTGCGGTGCCTTGGAGGTGGGTTGGTAGGATGTTGGGGATCCCGGTTGAGAGACTCTTACTATCTTCACAGTTTTCAGCTCAGCAAGGCCATCATCACGCAGCAAAAAGTATCATTAGCAAGATCTCCGGGTTAGCTGACTGACTAAACGTACATCTAATCGTAGGTAATAATCAAACTCTTCAAGCTGTAGACTTAGAACCTTTAAAGACGTACTTGGTTAAAGTATTATCTTACTTTAAAGCCGGTTTTACTTCAGTACTGCTACCACATGGCTACTCTGTAACTTACGGTACGTGAAGTTCTTAATATTTAAGAGTTAAGGTCTATATTAGAAATTATGCATCGCTTTCTGCTTTCCCGTAGGTTACGCTCACTCAAGTTAAACGTAGCACGGCGCAGGTTGCACCCCTATTCCAATTTGGAATGGTAAAACCTATCTTGGGGGTTCTTGTTGGTCAGCAAGGTCTATCAGCTCAGCCACAACCAACCAGCCGGCTCCATCTTGACGACTGATTAAGTTTGTAGGATAGTGCATGGATATACGAAGTACGGTGGGATGCCAAGTCTTATGGGTAGGTAACGGGCGGTAAGTCCATGTGAATAAATGCTATTGAGGTAGATAGGCATTTCTTTCTTACACAGCTCCGGAGTTAAGTGACCCTAAACAACATTGCCAATTATACCGAGGGAAATTCCTTAGGATTCACTTTGCAGGCTTAGCGTTACCCATCCGGAACGGTCGGAAGCTGTCACAAGCACAGAGAGATATGTAACAACAAGCGCGCTTTTGCGACTACGTTAACCCCACCATCCATCTCGCTAGGTACCATGTCCATCCGGTATTACATAGTAGGAGGAGAAGGGCGTCTGTTCGATTCATACACTATGAGTATTTATGACTCATTTGGCTACATGAATAGAATATCTTATTTGTTAATTTGGGCATTCTACTCCGTAGTCCCAGTACCTTAATGTTCTCCCCTAGAATCTTGAGCGAGAAAGTGATAAGGTACCTGGTCGATACGCATAAATCCTACACTTTTGAAGTTGGTGCTAGCCTACGTGCTTGGGTGAAATAGTCGCACTCTCCTCCTGTAGGTTACATGTAAGTACTGCAGTAGTCTAACCTTAAGTACTGATCGGGAAAGAGGCACGGACTTCCGTCGTACAGTCAGGCGTGCTTATGTCCACCTGGGCACTTGGTAGGTCAACACCGGTCTTACCTTGATAGCGGTCGCTTATTGGGGAGAAATTATTGTTTTAATATACAACTACAGTATGGTTTCACAATGATTGTTTAACATACAATGATTGTTCAGCATACAATCGTTCTGGTGGTATAGGTAGTCTACTCTGCACTAAAAACGGCGAGAGTGCCAAGACACCACACACACCTTAGACCAGATATAACTACTGAAGAAATTCTGCTTCTTCAGACGCCGCTTACACAACATTAAAAATTAAGAAAAATAAATTGATTACACCAGAATATAGAGAAACAGTATATATTTAATACGATACAGCTGATATTACATGGAGGTTTCTGGGAGTAGTGTGTGTACACCTTTGAAGTGATACCTAGAAATCTTATAAGCAATGGGGCTGGTACGAGTACGAAGTATGCATGGTGTCTTGGCACTCCCGCTTTGTGTCCGTACCAGCTGTGTGTTCGCACCGATAGCCCCACCATTTTCTTGTTACCAGGTCACAGAGATCCACGGATCCCGCCTACCTGAGGCTCATTCGCGCCCTCGGCTCAAAGCTTGAACTTTTTCCATCTCATCGTCATTAGTGGGCTCTGATGAGCCTGCTTTAGCATCCGTACTCTCCCCTCCTCCGTGCCTCACCATTGCCGTTGCTGGGATCGAGGATCTCTCCGCACAACGCCTGCGCGCTGCTCGCCCTGTTCGCTATACCCCTCCCCCTCCCTCGTTGCGCAAACGACATTGTCAGTATTGTCAGTATTGTCGGTAGTTGGGCTGGGTTATTATAGAGGAGCCGACTATCCACACCGCCCGTTGTTGCATTGCACTGGTACTCGAGCTGGCGCTGAAGTCGGAACCGGAGTCGGAGCTGGCACTGGAGCGTTGCCTCTCTATCTCTCAATACCAGATTCCAGATGTCCGGAATGGCGACGCCGGGCGACGGGCCCAAAGGTCCGGCCGAGCGTGACGAGCCGCCGTCACAAGGTATGAAGAATGAAATGCGAAGTGCGAAGTATGAAGTATGAGATATGATGATGATGAAGTCGTGATGACAGCACCAGCACCGCCTTTGTTGGCTTGCAACCCCGCCCCCTCTCACAGTTCGCATTCCACATTCTCTCCCAATGGCCCCCATCCGCCCTTCCACGTTTTAGTTCCTGTGTCTATTCCTGTGTCTTCTTGAACCCTGCTGCCCCGTTCTTTGGGAGGCCGTGCTTGTGATTTCTTGACTAATTCCTGCCGCTGTTTGCAACCACCAGGCGCCTCTCACGATGTCCCCAAACACCAATCCCAACATCAACCTCAACCGGCCCCCGAGCGGGCGCATGCTGTTCGATTCTCGAGCAACGTAGACGAGATCAGCCCGCCCGCCGTGCATCGGCCGCGTACCGGCTCCTCTGCGACGCCCGAGCAGATCCAGGCTCTCACGGAGTGCCTGCATGGCACCCAGCTTCAGGAGCAGCGTGCTCAGATCTACGCTTTTCAGCCTGTCTCGCTTCCACCTTCCAGAGTACGTCGCTTGTCGCTTGTTGCTTGTCTTACGTGCAACCAGCTGCCGTCTTTGAGCTGAGGGTTATTATTTTCCTGCCTTTGTGTTACCTTTGACTACTTTTTTCTGCCTTATGCTGCCTTGCCATCTTCAAGGGGGTTCGCAAGGAGGCTGGTTGGGTTAGTGCCTGGCCGGTGCGCCCGCGGCTTTCCGGTGACTTCGCCACGGCACCTCAGCGCTCATTAGTGGACATGACTCGACTCTGCTTGGCCATTGGTCCCGGCGGAATCTGAGCGGACATTGCATTGCAATCATGAAGAGAATTTCAAGCTGATTTTCATCCTTAGATACATTCAAGCGAGACCACACCTGGCGCTACTCCTCAACATAGCCATAGTCCCATGGCGCCTCGGTCACCGCATCTAGGTCCTCACACGTCGGGCCTCACGCCCCCGCTGACACCCGCCGGCAGCTCGGCCGAGCATGCGCACACCAAGGCCTTCCGGCATGGTAGCTCGGACGGAGCTTTTCCATCGTATGAGGTGACGCCCCAAGATTCGAGCCAAAATTCGCGACCGCCCTCTCGCTTGGAATTGCCGCACCGGCCTGCATCTTCGGATAATCTCTCCCAGAGAACCACGGTTGTCGAAGAGCAGGGTGGCTCTCGATCACATCGGAAGGGAATGTTCGGTGGCGCGGCCGGAGGACAATCACTCCCTGTTTCTAGAGAATCCAGCCCGTCGAGGAATGCTGCCTCTCAATTCTATACCCGACCCTTCACTCCCCAAGGCGACGCCAATGATCCTTATGCTTCCAGTAGGCGGCCAGCTCAAAACAGAAGTGTCGGAAGCATAGACCAGAGATTTGTTTTCTCCAGGAAGAAACAATCGCCGACAGCCTCCACCACGAGCTTGCGCCAACCCGACAAGTCTGAAAAGCGTCACTCTGCTCTGCTTGGGGCCCGGAATAAATCTAGCGAGCTTTTCTCAACGGGGACTCATTCGGGGACTCATTCTAGTGGACACCATTCTCAGCAGAGTTCCATGTCGGATCTGAGGAGGTTTTTCAAGGTGGGCGGGAGTCATAAGCCGAAGAAGCCGCCTCAGTCACCAACCACATCTGGGGGCCACGGGTCACGTTCAGGTCATCTGCCTTTCGCCGATGACCACGGACTCTCTTCCAAGTATGGCAAAATAGGCCGAGTTCTCGGGTCTGGCGCGGGGGGCTCGGTAAAACTCATGAAGAGAAGCGAAGATAATACCGTCTTCGCCGTGAAAGAATTCCGTCCTCGCCATTCCTACGAGACAGAAAAGGAATATACTAAGAAGTTGACCGCCGAATTCTGCTTCGGATCAGCCCTCCATCATGGCAACATTATTGAAACACTGGATATTGTGCAGGAGAAAGGGAAGTGGTACGAGGTGATGGAGTACGCCCCGTTCGATTTGTTCGCCATAGTAATGACAGGAAAGATGAGCAAGGCCGAAATTAATTGTTGCTTCCTACAAATTCTGAGCGGTGTGACCTACCTGCACAGCTCTGGTCTCGCGCACCGAGATCTGAAACTTGACAATGTCGTTGTCAGTGAGCATGGAATTATGAAAATCATCGACTTTGGCAGCGCACACGTCTTCAAATATCCTTTTGAGAGCGAGGTGGTATTGGCTAGTGGTGGGTGCCCTGTATTTCTTCATCCTGGCCAGATCCTCTAACAAGAAAACTAGGTATCGTTGGCTCAGATCCGTATCTAGCCCCTGAGGTGTATGACGAACGCAAGTACGACCCACAGGCTGTAGATATATGGTCTCTGGCCATCATTTTTTGTTGTATGTCACTACGAAGGTTTCCTTGGAAGATACCGCGGTCGA